GCTCCGGGGCCGGGAGGGGGGCAGTAGAGTTTCCCTGGTGTTGGCCAGAGTGGTCACCAGGGAAACCTGGGGAGGGCTAGCCTCCCACTAGTTCGAATTAAGGGGCTACACAGCCCTTAATTCGAACTAGTAAATTCGAACTAGGCTTAATCCTCGTGGAATGAGGATTACCTAGTTCGAACTAAGCGCTCCGTTAGTTCGAATTAAATTTGAACTAACAGCGCGCTAGTGTAGCGCCTATGAAAGTTTGTAGTGTAGACATACCCTATCAGAGTAGGGAGCAGGCAGCTGCCTACGTGTACAGGCTCCTGCCTTCCCCCACCGAGGCAGCAGCACAAAGGTTATGGAACCGGTATGCACTTGGAACCAGCTTGAAAGCCGGCTCCTCGCATGTACCAGCTCCCTGCGTGTACCAGTATTGGCTCCTGCCTGTCCCCCTTCCCCTCCACTGCTTCTGTATCAGAGGCAGCAGTGCAGGGAGGGGCAGGCGGCTCTGCAGGAGGCGGTGCTTGAGGGGAGCTGGCTTTTACAAAAGTGAAGCTCAAGAAGGGCCCTGTGTCAAATGATCCGCAAGCTCCCACCCCAGCTAGTACACCTGGAAAGATATTAAACCACATCTACACAGGTGTCCAGCTCTGTTCAGCCTGCTAAACTGGACATGGCCCCTTTTGCTTGTGTAGACAGGCCAGGGAGGTGAAAGGTCACTTCTCAGTTGGGCAAATCACTTGTGGTTCCTACCAACATCAATAGGCCAGTGAAGCCGCGACATCGTTCCAAACAAGCTCACAAGCACCCGACCCGAGAGCACTGAAAGCAGGACTCACACTCAGCTCCATGACGTCACACCAGGTAACCACACCGCCCTCTGCAAGTCAGCACGAGGCCGACTCAGGGACAGTCCTCTGAGAGGGAAAAGGGCCAACGGATCACCCAGCCTGGCCACTGCTAACGCAGGATCGCTCCCCGCAGAGTGTCCCAGATGTGACCAATTCTATAGAGAGGAATTCCACCAGCTTCATGGGGTGACCAACCTCACTGCATCCAATCTTCTTCCCAGCTGCCCAGCCTATCTGCACTGCTACACAGACAGCATCACGGCATTTCTCTCGGACCCTACAGGCCAGCAGGGACAGTGAGTGCACGGCCAGCCCCGGTGAGGTGCCGGACCGCTCTGGGAACGCTGCCGTCCTGGCCCCGCACACTGGCCCCGCTCCGCCTCACCTTCACGAGCAGCTCATAACGCGGGATCCTCTGCACAGGCTTGATCATGAGGTCCGACAGCGCTTGCTTCTCTTTGTTCTCCCGCATGCTTTGCTGCAGAACAGTGGGAAGGGGAGGGAGAGAGGCAGGTTCTCGTCACACAAGGCCACACGGCAGCCTAGTTCACCCCGCAGCAGCACTGGTTCTGGCTGGGACCGTAGTGAGATTCAATGAGGCATTCATACCAACACTGAGAATACCCAATGCTAGCATCATTAGCAGCACAACAGGACTTCCCTGGATCTTGAGCTAGTACAGCCCATGATGAGAGCAAATTTGGGGGTGGGAGATGCCAGGTTACCCCACTTCAGGGCTTCTGAGTATTTGGGTCTGGCCCCTGTCACTGGCCTGGATGGACCTCTGCTCGGATCCAGATCCTGTGCTCTGAGGCTCAGGATGTGCTGCAGACCCCGCACAAAACCACAGCTAAGTGGAGACTGCAGAGGCACCATCCAATCCCAGTACCCAGGCTAGAACGTCATGCTGGTCTCCACCATGGAAGACTGAACCATGGAGGTGTGGCTACATGATTTAGGGATGTGGCCAACCCCTCGACCCCATTCTAAGCCTGCTAGCCTCCCTGAGTCTGGACTAAGGAGACATAATGCCTCTGAGACGATCTGCTATAGGGCCCTGTCTGCAAAGGACAACAAAGGCATAATCTGCTCCCTACGAAGATCTCAGTGAGATGGTAAATGTGCCCCATCAATCCTCTGGGGGTCAGACAAGTGCCAGCAGCACAGAACTGGGCTGTGGAAACGGGAGGAGCTGGATGTTCTTACTCAGATACAAGAGGCAAGATGATCAGCTGGGGTAAAAGGGTGTAGCTCCAATAGAATCAATGGCTTGACACTGATTCACACCAGTTGAGGATCTGGAGTGGCACCGATTCGGATCTGGTCCAAATATTTGCAACCAAGGAAACAAGGAAAAATCCTGGACAGATAAATGCAAATTTGTTCTCTCCAATGTTTCTCCCGTCCTGCCTCCCATGGCTGCTCCAGCATGATACCCCTTCAGCCCAGCCAGTGGCCTTTTATCTTTGGACTAGGGATATTAAATTGTGTTGAATTAGCTAATCGAGTAGTCTATGGAATTTCCATTTCCCGCTCAATTAGTCGATAAGGGAGGAAATTGCAGAGCCACAGCGGGGTTAGCTCAGCCCTGGGGCCTTTTAAATGTAATAAGAGCTGCTCAACTCATACTGCATTTAAAAGGCAGAGGCACAGCGGGAGACACGGTGTGAACCGGGAATCAGATGTCCTGGCTCGTGCCTGGTCCCAGACGCTGTGCCTCTGCTTTTTAAATGGACTCCCGAGGCGCAGCATCCGAGACCGGGTGCGAGCCGGAAATCAGCCAGGGGTAAGCTGGGAATCAGCTGCACCTTTGCGTCTCCTGCTCTCCTATGGAGACGGTGCTGGGCGGGGGAGGGAGAACCATCTTTAAGCCATCTCCCCCCAGCATCAGCTCCTACTTCCTCACTTGCTGCGGGGGGAAGCGACTAGCTGAGTAATGACTCAACTACCCAATAAGCACATGCTTACTGGGCAGTCAACTACTTGCTTACATCCCTACTTTGGACATGCATAATCAGTTCCGACTGAGCTGCAGAACCAACTCAGCTGGTAGGTTGCCCCTGCCGGGAGGCTACCTACCTCCAGGAATTTCATAAAGGCCGGCCTGGCTTCCTTGGCTACTCTCACAGCATCCTTGGCATTGAGGAAGTTATCGATGTACGCCGAATAAATGTTCACCAGGATGTCCTTGGAAAACTGGGGGAGCAAAACAGAGAGAGACCATTAAAGGGGGTTTTCCAGGACAAGAAAGAGGCTTTCTGTGAGGATGTCAGACAGAGAAAACCAGGGAATAAAACTACACGCTCCACCCTGGGGTTGGGAGGGTCTGGAAAGGGCTGGAAAGACAGAATCCCCACCTTTGAGTTTGTGTTTGGCTGCCTGTGCCCTGCTTCACCCAGACTTCCCATCACTCTGGTCGCCTTGCCATTGACAGTAAAGCCAAGCGCTTGCTGCAGCTGTGAGATGGGGGCGTCTGCCTGTGCCAGGGGAGCGAGTACCTGTCCGGCTGGTTTATTTTCTCCGAAGACAGGGTAGATGGCTGTCCTCAACAATAATGGGCCCTAGAGGCCCTGGTTTCGTGATGCCTCTCCTGCTCAAGACCCCGTCCCCCACTCACTTGTCTCTGCCTCCTCATAACTCTCCCTTATGGCTGATAAAAAGTATGGCCCTCCTGTTCCAGTGCCCCATTTTTTGACCCAATCCTGCCTCTTGGCTGATTCCACAGACAGACCATTGCTGTGTTTGCCAGATGGATAATTAACACCACTGTCAATCTCTCTCTCCAACACAGCCATCAGCAAAGCCCGTGCCATCGGACTGCCAGCGGCTTTCCAACCTGGCATCTGTCTTTCAAAACCTCATCACGACTCTTGCCCAAGCTGGCATGTGTTATCACAGAATCAACTGTACTTTAAGTGCTGTGTCTATACAGCTCCTGGCACTACAGGGTCTTGATTCATGAGCGGGGCCTTTAGGCACTATGACAACAGATAATTAATACTCATTTAGGGACTGCGGCAGGAAAGGCTGTTGAAGGGCTACTGGAAGCATTTGGGAAGACAGGATTTCTGGCCCCAAAGCCTGAATTGGGTATCTAGCCATCCCTAAGAAGGATGTTAAGGTGGAAGAATTGAACTCAGAAGACTTGGCTCTGATTTCTGGCTCTGTCACCAGCTTCCTTAGTGACTTGGGTGAGTCACTTAACAGCAAATGCTGCCACCTGCAGAAGGAACACAGCACAGTGGATTGGGCATCATCATCATAGAACAGAATAATAGAATATTAGAACTGGAAGGGATCTCAAGAGATCATCAAGTCCAGTCCCCTGCCCTCACAGCAGGACCAAGCACTGTCTAGATCATCCCTGAGAGATGTCTATCCAACCTGCTCTTAAACATCTCCAGTGACGAAGATTCCACAACCTCCCTGGGCAACTTATTCCAGTGTTTAACCACCCTGACAGTTAGGAACTTTTTCCTAATGTCCAACCTAAACCTCCCTTGCTGCAATTTAAGCCCACTGCTTCTTGTCCTATCATCAGAGGCCAAGTAGAACAAATTTTCTCTCTCCTCCTTGACACCCTTTTAGATATCTGAAAACTGCTATCCTGTCCCCTCTTTGGCTTCTCTTTTCTAAACTAAACAAATCAAATTCTTTCAGACTTCCCTCATAGCTCATGTTTTCCAGACCTTTAATCATTTTTGTTGCTCTTCTCTGGACCTTCTCTAAATCTTTCTTGAAATGTGGTGCCTAGAACTGGACACAATACTCCAATTGAGACCTAATCAGCGCAGAGTAGAGCGGAAGAATGACTTCTCATGTCTTGCTCACAACACTCCTATTAATGCATCCCAGAATCATGTTTGCTTTTTTTGCAACAGAGTCACACTGTTGTCTCTCATTTAGCTTGTGGTCCATTGTGACCCCTAAATCTTTTTTTGCAGTACTCCTTCCTAGACAGTCGCTTCCCATTCTGTATGTGTGAAAGGGATTGTTCCTTCCTAAGTGGAGTACTTTGCATTTGTCCTTATTAAACTTTATCCTATTTACCTCAGACCATTTCTCTGGTTTGTCCAGATGATTTTGAATTATGATCTTGTCCTCCAAAGCACCGGCAACCCCTCCCAGCTTAGTATGATCTGCAAACTTCATAAGCGTACTCTCCATGCCAATATCTAAATCATTGATCAAGATATTGAACAGAACTGGTCCCAAAACAGACCACTGTGGAACCCCACTTGTTATGCCCTTCCAGCATGACTGTGAACCATTAATAACTACTCTCTGAGAATGGTTATCCAGCCAGTTATGCACTGACCTTATAGTAGTCCCTTCTTAGTTGTATTTGCCTAGTTTATTGATAAGATCATGTGAGACCATATCAGATGCCTTACTAAAGTCTATATATACTTCTCCACCACTTCAACCTTATCCACAAGACTTGTTATCCTATCAAAGAAAACTATCAGATTGGTTTGACATGATTTGTTCTTTACAAATCCATGCTGGCTGTTACCTGTCACCTTATTATCTTCCAGATGTTTGCAGATGAATTCCCTAATAACTTGCTTCATCATCTTTCCTGGCACAGAAGTTAAACTAATTGGTCTGTAGTTTCCTGGGTTGTTCTTATTTCCCTTTTTATAGTTGTGCACTATATTTGCCCTTTTCCAGTCTTCTGGAATCTCTCCCGACTTCCATGACTTTTCAAAGATGATAGCTAGGGCTTTTTCTCTAGGGCTTTTCCCTCCCCCTTCTTTACTCTGGCCCTGCAACAGAAGACTCTCCCATTTGCCTGTTTCATTCACCTGTTGTATCCTGTCTGATGTTTTCTTCATTCCACTCTTTATACGGCACCTAGCACACGCGGGGCCTGCTCCTTCCTTAGTGCTGGTAGGCATTGTGGGGATGGAAATACTAGCAAAGAAAAGGCTACACATGTGTGTAGAAGTCGCCCAACACACTACAACTCGTTCACATTTTTGCATAAGCACAAGCACGTGCATACCTAAAGCTCTGGACACACAACGTTGCCCTTGAACGCACATTGACAACTCTTCTGATATACAAACTTGAGCAAATTCAGGCTCCCCTCCAGACACTCACTGATGCACTGACTCCTCACCCCACCCCACCCCAAATACCTACCCAGCACCGCTACTCATAGGGCAGAATTGTAAGTAGTGAAGGTCACCTTGGACTTCCCCCCCTGAACCGGGTTACGTTCACAGCAGTGACTAGTCACGCGCTGGGAGGAGATGATGAAAAATACCCCAAGCGACAGTTGCCATCAGTATTCCTATTCCAGAGAGCCACAGGCAATCTCGCCAGCCACTGCACCACCTGCGCCCCTCTGTGACCCACTCATTAAAGCATCTCTCCCCGTGCCACGTTTATTACTGAGGTGACGGTGTTGTCAGGGCCCCAGCTAAGCCAACCTCCTCTGCCTCCAATGTGTCTCATTCCCTTTTAATTACCCACCGGTGCCCTCCCCCATCCTCCCCCATCATCTCCAGCCAAACAGCAGAGACCTGTGAAAGCCCTGTGGGCACCATGCAGTTCATTAGGCGAGCGTGCCAGCATCAGTCCAGTTCCCATTTCAATTGCCAGGAACAGAGTGGGAATTAAACCCAGCTTGACTGAATCATTAGCGTCTGCTTGTCCCTGCTGGTGTACCAGAGAGGCAGCTGCTGTGGCAATCACACAGGGATTACACAGGTCAGTGGGCAGGGGATGCTGTGTGATGAAGCGGAGCTGGAAATGCTTGGGACGGCCAGGGCTGTATGCAACCCACACTGGGAGAGAGGCTGACTGTGCAGAGACCCCCTTACCCTCGGCCAGCCTGGCACCTCGTCCCTTCTCTGTGCTGGAATCCCTTTGGAAGGACAGTGCCCCAGGAGGCTAGTCACAGCTGTTCCATTCACAGCGTCCTTCCCAGAAACAATGGCACAGGCTCATTTCCCAGCTGGTCTGATGGGCCACTAATGGTAACGCGGGCCTGGCATTCTCCCTTCCAGTCTTAAGGCTCTCTGAAGTGCTGGTATTTGCCATCTGTAGGATGGCAGCGTTAAGACGGCCAACGTGGGGATCAGGGCACCACTGTGTTAGGAGCTGTACATCCATAGAGAGACAGATGCTGCCCCATAGCTTGCAGTCTAGCCAGGCAGGCCACCCACTTAGGGATGTAAGGGTATGTCTACACTACAGAGTTAGTTCGAACTAACTTAGTTCGAATTAGTTAATTCGAACTAAGCTAATTCGAACTAACGCGTCTAGAACTAAAAACTAGTTCGAATTAGCGTTTTGCTAATTCGAACTAGCATGTCCACATTGAGTGGACCCTGAACAGGGCTTAAGAATGGCCGGAAGCAGTGCCGGCAGGGCATCAGAGGAGGACTTAGAGCGTGGAGATGCTGTCTAAGGCTAGCCGAGGGCTGCGCTTAAAGGGACCCGACCCCCACCCCGGACCGACAGTTCTCAGGGGTGCCCCGCTTGAAAACCAGTCCTGGCTTGGAGTGCCCGGAGTGCCCACACTGGGCACATCACAGCACTCGGCCATCAGACCGGCACTACTTGCCGCAG